TTAAATTAAGTCGAGGGTCCATTACTGAAGCTAAAAGAAATAAAGAAGGCAACTCTTCCCAGTATTTACAAAATTTTAACTCCATAGAGCGGACTACATCTGCAAAAAGTGGCAAATTCCTATATTTATGAAATGCTTGTGAAATGTAGAAAAAATGTTGTAAAACAAGAGAAGATGTAGGGTAATAAACACCGCTACATTCCTTTGTAGCATCGAAAAAAGGTTGTAAGAATTTTTTCACGTAAAATGCAATTGTCCATTTCCAATCTTCCAAATTATGTTCGGGTCCGAGTGTATGCCTACCATTATAATATAGTGAAATCACTTTATCGTAATTTTCACACGAATGTAACATAAGATATGTAGAGTTCCACCTATGTGTTACATCAGTGGCAAATGATTTCTCCTGTAATCCATACTCTGCACACAAACTATTAAATGCTTGTTTTCTTGCTGGTGACATAGTAATAAAATTTATTGCTTGTCTAATTTTATCTAAAGGTGAACTTATATGTTCTAATCCAACATTTACAATCAAATTAATAATATGACATACACAACGTTGATGAAAAAATAAATTTTCAAATACGGGATTAAGATCAGCAATAATCTTTCAATAACAACTTTGTTCACTGCAGTATTATCAAAAATAAAATTTCGAACCATATCTTGTATACCATATTCATGTATGATATCTTTTAAAACCATGTATATGTTAGTGACATTATGGGAAAATTCTATACATCTGAATGCAATAATTCTTTTATGTAGAAGCCACAGGTGATCGATATAATGAGCCGTAGCAGCAATATAACATTTTCTATTACAACCAGTCCATAAATCAGAAGTAAACGATATAACATTATTAAAACTTTTTAGACCTTCAATAGTAATTTGTTTTCTTCTGTTATATAATTTTATGCTATCCGAATGAAGAGTGTTTTTAGAATAAGAAGAATACCTGGGTTAGAGATATTTCTGCACGAGTCGGGTAAAGTGTATTGAGTCTATCATCGTAAGCGGCATCTCTGCTGCAGCCACGTATGCAGTCATTCCTTCATGAAATATTTCCTGTGAATATACAAAGGTGGAAAGAGTAGAATTAGAACCGTCAAACACTAGTTCGGTCTGTTTCGAGTGGAGATCGGCTGGTTTCGCTTTGCAACTCCTTAATACGTGTCTATTCAAATGCGTTGTGCTCGAGCCAGGCTTCCAACTAAGTTCTTTGCCACAGTAATTACAACATGCTTTCCAAATATCTACTCCATTTTGAACACCAATTTTTTTTTCGTGTCATATGTTGCCAAAGTCTGATGATTCTTTTTTTGACCTTTTTGTCTCGAGTACTTGAACTTCTTCCTCTTCAATATCCTCCAAATTAATTAGAACATTTTCACATGCATCGTAGTTAGATGGAGTACTCGAGTTACCGCCAAACTGATTAACTTCATCACTTGTAAAATCCATAATAACTAGTATAATAAAAAATACTGAATATTAGACTGTAGAGTGAAAGAAATTGAATATATTAATTGTTATATGAGAAGTGAGAAAGAAGAAATTGAAACTTGAATGATTGAATCTGAATATATAATATAAAAATAATGCGAATTAAAATCGATAGCTAAGTGATTTAAAATTTCAAAAATCATCCTGTATTTATAGATAAAAAACGCGCGTTATTTTTCAAATTTGAATTTCAAAAAGGTAACAGTGTAAGTGTACCAATACGAAAAAAAAGGCAGCTATAGCTGCTTATGACCTGCTGCCGTGCAGCAGTTCAAATTTTTTTTTTAAATTTTTTTTTGGTTTGTTCTTTAATTTGCTCGGGCCATTTTTGGCCCGTGACATGAGCCGGCCTGGCCCCGTGACAAAAATGCTCGGCCCGTGTGACTCGCTCGGACCGACCTCTTATTTTGAGGATCGGGCCGAGCCACACGGGCTTGCTCAAGCTCGGATCGACCTCTTATTTTGAGGCTCGGCTCGATCCTAAGCTCGTTCACTACGAGTCACGAACCGGGCGGGCTCGGGCTTTTCTCGAGCCGAGCCACGAGCTGCCCGAGTCACCGAGCCTTTTTGACACCCCTAAATTAACATTTCAGAAAATCATAATTAAAACTTTTTGCCCATCGAAAACAGGAGGCCAAATCCAGCGACGTTTATCTAACTCATACAACTCAATCACCGTCTAAGCTGCAGAGTATCCGTACATCCATAAAGCAACATCTCCCTGCGAGTATCTAAAGCTAATTCTTCAATTTTTTTTCTTGAAAATTATACTATCAGCAAAAGAAAAAAGATGTGGAGTGATCTAATTTTACAAGCGTGTATAATTCTGATCATCATTTTAATGTTTCTGATCATGCACAACATCCCCCAGAAGCTATTCACAAAGCTCCGTCTCTACAGTCGTCGAGCCAATCTCCAAGCCAAGCGCCACTTCGTTCTCGGCGCCCAGCTCCTCTCCCAGGCCAGATCCTCCAAAGACCGTTCTAGGTCTTCCTCCCTAGCCAAAGAAGCCGAATCCGAAGCCGAGAAAGCCATCCATCTCGATCCAAAGGACGCTGCGGCTCACATTCTCAAGGCCCTGGCTCTGGAGCTCCAGGGGTTCAAGACTTCAGCAATCGACTCGCTCGATGTCGCGCTTTCTCCGCTTGCCGTCAAGTCTCTGAGCGATTTGGAGAGAGGGGACGCTTTATACAAACGAGCCGAGTTGAGGCTTTCCGTGAGTCGACGCGGACGGGTTGACTTGGTGGTTGAGGACCTGGTTGAATCGGTGAGGCTTAAAAATGATAACGCCAAGGCATTTGGTTTACTGGCAGAGTGTTACGAAAAGAAAGGGCTGAAAGAAGAGGCCAAGAAAGCGTATGAGGATGCATTGAAGGTCCAGCCCAACTACAATGTGGCCCAAGAGGCCTTGGACCGCTTGGTTTCATCCTAACCGGTTTTATGCTTTTTTAACCTTTTTTTTTTTTATAAAAAAAAAATAAATTAATTTGGTTGCCATGTTATTCCCAGTTATTCTGATGGTGGACAGACCCATTTATGTGAAAAATGTGCAAAAAACGCTGAGATTTGCTCAACTCTGTCATTCAGTATTGGTTAGTAATGAGTTTCTTGCTTTAATGTAAAAGGTCATACATTTAACTATACTATTGGATACATAAAATGTGCAACGCACTTGCAGGACCATCGACTAAAAGTTGTCCCTTTCTAATTGTGGATAAAAATGTTTAGATGAAAAAAATGCAACATGCTTTAGTATTGGTAAGATTTGTGGGCTTATGTTTCGTGGTAAACTTGCACAATTTTTCTTTAATAACGATTGTTGTTGACTTATACCACAGGTACAACACATTTAACAGCATTGTTGACAGTCTTTCTCACATGTAGGGGATGTGACCATGATTATTTTAATAGCAGGTCCCACGTTGGCCCACTTTTGTGAGAATGCTGTTAATGTTTTTGCTCTTGTGGCCATTAGTATGATCGTTTGAAACTTAAGTGAATATTACCGTGAGAAAGTTACTTTAATGATTATTGATGTAATTATTCAAAATTTTAGTTGTTAACGTAATTAACATGTAAGGCTTATTGCAAATTTAGCCCTTGTTTCAACCCCATTTAAGGGAAATGATGCATTCTAAAATGGTAATAGAGAATGTGTGGTTAAAAATTATATGAAAGTTTTGAATTTGCGTGTAATATTATTTTATTGAATAATGTGGTTGAAAATGAATTTTAAAAAAAAATTGGACTCAAACAAGGGCTCGAAATCAAATCCAAGAGCTAATATGCTTGTATTTACAAACTTTGAATAGATACTTCATTTTCACGATCATTATTGCAATTTGCAAGTGCATAGTCTTCTTACATATAGTTATTTATAATCAAGCTTAGAAGATATCAAAGTCAATGATATTTGTGTCTAACTAGATTATAATTAAGGGAACGTTTGATTGCAAGCATAAAAATTGTATGGAAAAAAATAAATTTTAGGCAATTTAATTGTCCAGAACTTATTTGCATGAAAATTGTTAATTAAATGTGTTTGATTGATTTAATTTTCAAGCTAAAAAATATTATATTTGTCCATTTTTCATTAACGTATAGATGACAAAAAGAAAGAGAGAGTGAATTCTTCGAAAAATAAAATTCCATCTTCCTTAAAGAATATATATATATATATATTTTTTCTTTTTTGAAAAAATATGATCACGTAACCAAAAGTAGGAAAAAAATATCAATCAAATAGTATAAAATTATGAATTTGAGTGAAAAAATATATTTTTCATGAAAAATATTGACAATGAAACGCACCGTAAGTTATCTTCTAATCAAATCTATTAAGTAAGCTTTTAAGAGTGTAACATTAAAGTTTAGAAACATGGGATAATTGATTACATATCGACTAGTATTTAAAGTAAAATGGAAGATTGTAAATTCTGATTGACACAAATTAAGGCTGGCTAACTCAATTCAAATTTTAATGGACATTTATTGATCAAAAATGAAATTACTATTTGCAAGTAAAATATTAAAAATTAATTATTTAATCGATGACAATGGAACAAAATGGCGAGGAGATACAAAATTCATATTCACCAACCTGTTTAATTATTTATTTATTCAAAAAAATTTGAACCAGAGCCATCTGCCTCGTCGTGTCTGAAAAATTTTGTCATCTCTAACTTTTCTTTTAGAAAGTAAAACTTTTTTAAATAGGTAAACAGAAGATCTCAAAATCAAAAATGAAAAAGAATAATATTTGAAAAACTCAAATAAAAATAATAATAAAATAAAATAGAACCATGGCATAGCTAGAGACAAGAAGGAAGAAAAGTGAGTACTTTTAAGTTTGACTCAGTCAAAGGGAGAAAATTCCACTTTGACTTTGAAAATCATGAATATTATCACATTGACCTCTTAAATGTTAAAAGACAATGATGCCCTTAAATGTATTATACAATTACAAAACAATGTATTGTTGAAAAGATTTTACTACATTTGTAGTTAATAATTGAAAACCAAACACTTCCCCACTTATAAAATTTCAAAACGAGCTTCCAAAACAGAAAAACTCTCATCTTTCATCTACTTGAACCTCAACATCTCAAAAAACGTTCAAACGCTGAAGCCGAAAATTTTTTTCATATCAATTTCTTTAAATCGGTAAGTCATGTTTAATTTCTTTTTTAGTAAATTAGTATACGTTTGAATAGAGAAAATTTATTTTGACATAGTAATAGTTAGTAATAATTTTTTTTAGCAGATCGAACGTATGAAATTTTTTTTTGAACAGATCTATAATTTTTTTCTTCTACGTAATGCGAAAAACAGAAAAGCAGTCGGCTGTTTGGCCTGTTTAACAGCCAAACAGTCACATGACTGTGGGTTGTTTAACAGCCGACTGTTGGCACTGATTTTTGTTGGCAATGCATTATTTTTTCTTATAATTAATAAATGAAGTTGATTAAATCCATTTCCTCATGCAGATATGATAATCCCCGTCTGTTATTTCGGTGATTTCGAATTGAATGAAAATAATCGATGGGAATGGAGATGGACAAGTGACATACGTGGTTGTATTACAATTCCCATAACAGAGAGTATACCATATTTAGAAATGTACCACGATTTGCAAAATAAGCTGAATGTCGATTAATCTCAATACGATATGCAATTGAGGTATCTATTCAACGGTTATGGGGATTCATCCATTCCGATGCCACCGGTATTCGTTACTAATGATGTTGAATTGAATTATCTATTAGAATTGAATAAAATGCATCGGACTCCGATTGTTCTTGGTGTGACTTTAATTACGAAGGATGTTATCGAAGGTGAACGCGAAGATTCAGATAGGACGGATAACAATGATCGAGGTTTTTGGGAGACAATGGAGATATTCCTGCGGATGATGTGGTTATTTTTTAGACAGTTTCTTCTGATCGTGATATCGCTGTTACGCGCAGAATTCCGTCGACGGTTGAAAACAATGAGAATATAAACGAGTTTACAAATGAGAATTTGATTGCTTTATCCCGACAGAGACATGAGTCGGGTGGGAGCTCATAGGTTGAAACAAGTGGACCGTCCTCCAATTCTTCCCGTGTGGCTCCCGATTATGAGGACTTGTATGTCGAGCAACTGTTTGAAACCAAGAAAGATTTGCAGGAAGTTGTGCACCGGCTGGCATTAAAATATAACTTTGAGTTCAAGGTAAAGAAATCAAACAAGTCATTGTTGACAGTTGCTTGCGTCAAAGGCAGTTGCAATTGGCGCTTGAGAGTAACTAAGATGGACAGAATGAGTGCTTCGTAATTCGCAAGTATTCACGGGAACATACTTACGAAGTGGGAATTCTTCGAAACGATCACAGGCAAGCTCGAGCATAATTTATTGGTCGACAGATAATGCATAAGTATTAGGACCCATGGACGATCTACAGACATTCGGACATCGTTAACGACGTCCGTCAAGAGTATGGAGTGATCCTGAGCTACCAGAAAGTCTGGAAGCCCAAAGAATGTGCATTGGAGGATTTAATGGGATCGGCTGAGGAGAGCTATGCTAAATTGGCCAGATATTGCCATAACATGTGAAGAACTAATCCTGGCACGACATTTTTTATCGAGACGGGGAGCGATAATTGTTTTAAGTATTTCTTCATGGCTCTCGGACAATGTATTCGGGGTTTTCAAAATGCAATGCGACCCGTAATTCTAGTTGATGGTACAATTCTGAAAGCTAAATATTAAGGGAAATTAATTATTGCTATATGTCAAGATGCCAACATCCAAATTTACCCATTGCATTCAGTATAGTCGACAACGAGAATGATCTGTCCATGCGTTGGTTCTTTTCGAAATTGAGGGAAGTGATCAGGAAAGTCGAAGACCTTGCCTTTGTAACCGATCAGGGACAGTCTATAATAAACGGTATCGCTGAAGTTTTTTCAGAGGCACATCACGGGTATTGCATGTACCATATACAAGGTAATTTGAAAACTAGGTATCGGGGCAAAGGCATCGTTTCATTGTTCAGGAGAGCAGCCGAAACTTACAGTGCTGAAGAGTGTAATAAGTTCATGTTTGACATAGGAAGTAAATCATTACTGGTGTTGGAGTATCTGACGAACATGGGGATCGAACATTGGGCGCGGTCATACTTTCCAGGACGTCGATACAACATGATGACGTCGAATAATGCGGAGTCTCTCAATGCATTATTTAAGAAGGATCGAGAGTTACTAATTCTCGCAATGATTGAGAACATTCGTAACAAGCTGAAACAATGATTTCATGACCGACGTACGACATCACAGAGTTGCAGTAGCGTGCTGGCCCTAACTCAAGAGGAGAAACTCTTTAAGGCGGCAGAGGTTGCGAGGAAGTTGAATGTGAAAGCACTAGATGAGTTCCGCTTCTCCGTGTAATGTGCACGTAATACGACATATATTGTGGACTTGACTGATAACACATGCACTTGTACGAGATTTCAATTGGAGAGTTTTCCGTGTGAGCATGCAGTTGCAGTGGCCATGTATCGAGGCTTTGTAGCGAGAACGTTATGCTCTTTATATTATACGACTGAGTATTGGAGAACAGCATATGCGGAGACTATATTTCCTCTGCCGAATGAAACAGAGTGGGAAGTTCCAGAGCACATTCTCTCGTTTAATGATTTGTTGTCACCAGCAGTTGAACCGCGTGGTTCTGGACGTCCAAGTACATCTAGAATACTCTCTACTGGAGAGTTTCCTCGACGGCGTAGGTGTGACAGATGCAGAGCCATAGGGCATACTCGACAATTTTGTACCAGTCAAATTCCCTAAATGACAATTAGACAGGTACGTTCAATATTTGTTCTTCATAAATATTCGATGTTCTATATTTATTCTTGATAAACGGTATTTACAATGATTCATATGGAAAAATTAGTTCCATTCTTAGCATATATGTAAAATAACAAAAAATCAACTTACAGAAAAATAATTATATATATTGAACACAAATTTACAATTATTTCATAATAAAAAAATAATTACATTTACAATGTGAATGTCATATACACCGAACACAAATTTACAATTATTTCATAATAAAAAAATAATTACATTTACAATGTGAATGTCATATACACCGAACACAAATTTACAATTATTTCATAATCACAAAAAATAATTAAATTTACAATTCGAATGTTACATATATTTAATACAAATTTACGGGTCACCATTAAATTCGAACAAATCACATGCTAACTTCTTTCTCCAGTTCTGTATTCACGATTGGTTGTTTCCATCAACCTTATATCCTATACTTAAAAATTCAACGTACTTAATGGCAAATATGCCGCGGTCGCCGCTACAATTGAATAAGAATGGATCAGTTCAGTACTGTGTAGCTAAAAAACTAAATCTGAAAAATCAAAACAACAAAGTTCAAACACTTACCTTACGGACTGTCGCGATGTCGTCATGCTTCGAACAATCTGCAATCTGTCCTGTATAGTCATCCCAGCTTGTTTGGCCATCATAGGAGCAATTACAGCTACGGACTCCAAGTTTTGCTCTAACTGGCCTTGCGTCAAACACGAACGATTTGGGTCGTACACATATATAGCCATGTCAGCAAAAACGATTTCCAGCGTAACATAGTGCCTATTGATGCACGTTGGAATGTACATATATGTACAACCCTCCCATGATTTTTTCCCGACACTTGGCGACAATCCTATGACCCACTCGAGCATATATTCTGGCACCGTGTACTCGTTACCCATAATTTGGAGCGACTCATACTCTATGGTAACGACACGCAGGAACTCGGGTACGACATATATGAAAAGTTATAAAGTTAATGTTTTGAAATATATAGTTTGATCACGAATGCACCTATGACACCTATTGAGTTTTTCAACTCTCGGGTTTAATCACATCTCTACAGATTGAAGGAATTCTACCTCGGACATGGATGGAAGAAAAGATGGAGAGTGATGCAACGAGCCCATGAAAATCCGGTGAATAAGTGATTTGAATTTATTTTTATGAAATGTTTTCCAATGTTATTTTTTTAAAATTTTGAATAAAGCAAAATGCGATAACAAGTTATGTTTTCTGTAAATAAATTACATTTTGTTGTTTTAAAAAATGATTAAGTGTTTTTGTTTAAAATATTTGAAATATTGTTATTTAAATTATTATCCGAAATTTTCCGCTAAAACGTATACACTTGTTACTAAATCACCGGTTAAGCTAAATAAAGTAAGTAGCGTTCCGGTCCACTAGGGGTTGGGGCGTTACAGACGACCTTGCTCCCGAGGTCGAACTGAAGGGAATCGCCGTTGACTAGCCTCAAAAGCTGACATAGAAGTGCATCGATAATCTGTCCTAAGTACTGCACCTCTCGCATTTGGTACAGTGGCCACAAGAAGGATTGTCGCAGCATATCTCCGTGATGATCATCAAGCAGTTCCAACACTGCAGTAAAACTCTCAAAGCTACTGTTCCAAGTAACTTTCCCCGCCATTCGTCTTAACTCCCCATCTAAATGATACTCCATCCTGCAAAAATTCAAATATTAGAACATTGAATAATAGATAATAAAGTAACGCATAATCTCAAAAAATCAAGGCAACCGAATTATAACTATCATACAATACGCAAGACATTGACACGAATAACAAAATAAATTCAATGCAAATTTAAAAATTAAAATAATTTAGTTTCTCTTGTATATTACATTTGGAAAATATATTTACAAAAAAAATTTCAAATTAAATACATTTTAAAAAAATAAAATAAAGAATATCAATATTATTTAAATAAATTAGAACAAAATCAAAGATTATTTCATAAAAGAAAAATAAAAGGAACAAAATAAATTGTTAATTGGACAACATTATCTATTCAATTATTAAATTATATAAAAAATAGGGAATTATAACAAAAAATTAACATAATTATTATTTAATCAAATTAACCTTGTAATCATTTGGAAAATATATTTACGAACAAAAAATTTCAAATGAAATACATTTTTAAAAAATTTAAAAAACAAATATATTATCTAAATAAATTTGAAAAAAAAAAATTCAAAGATTATTTCATAAAAACAAAAATAAAAGGAATAAAATAAATTATTAATTTTAGATAATATTCAATTATTAAATTATATAAATAAAAGACAATTATAAAAACTAAATAATTAAATTATATAAATAAAATAAAAGACAATTATAAAAATTAAATAAATAAATAAATAACATATTTATTTAATCAAATAAAAAATAAATTAATTATAAAAATTGAAAAAAAATAATAATTAAAAAGTCACTGACCGACTGTTAACAGTCGACCCATGACTGTTAACATGATTGGGCCGACTATTAACAGTCGTCGTCTTCCCGCAAGCAATTTTGCCATTGTCGAAGATAGAAAAAATTACAAAAAAATCACATTTTTCATCTCATTCACACCCACAATCTAACAATTTTACATGATGATAAATTTAAATCGAATAAACGTAAAAATAATGAATCTAAAAACTGAAACTTGTAATAATAAACTTCGAGCGCCAAAACTAACCGGAATAGTAGCGTGCAGGTACGGATTGAACGTTGGTGTTTTCGACCGGTGGTTGATCGATCGTTCTTCAGGCAGTTGGCATAGGTTTTCTTCGAAGTTCGATCGGTCGGTCGGTTTGAATTTTTTCTAATAGTCGGTGTATAATGAAGGATAAAATCGCCCTTTTAGTGTAAATTTATATATATATATATATATATATATATATATATATATATTTGTTTATTTAATGGGTCGAAAGTCAATATTAAAATTTGCTACAGCTCAAATTTCATTTCCATTAATTTCCTCGAGAAAAGGTCACTAAACCCATGGTTTTAACATGCTCTGAGTCCTGAGAATCTCTCATGCTTCAAGAGCCATTGGCAGCACCCTTTCAATCTCGAACCCAGCAATGTACGCTCAAAATCAGCCATTAAACCCGCCGACCCTGTGCCCAGTCGGCGCCGGAAATGACGGCTTGGTTGAGAACTTGGCTACTGATTATGAAGTTCAGTCTCTTAAAGACAGTGGAGTAGGCGGCTTGGCCACCGAAGAAGTCTCCATCCAGACCGACGACGGAATCTACACAGTCGGCGGCGGAGAGGGCTCCAACGTGTATGTTCCATGCGCCGCATATGGTAATGACCAGGTCGCTCTCTCGTTCCGCGACCGGGTCTTTGTGTTCGATGGCGTTACCGCTGATAAGGTTAAAATTTTCTAATGCTAAATTGATCTCCTTATTTTTTTTCTTATTGTCGTTCGAGTATTTTTCTCGCGGTGTTCACGGTTTCCAAGGAAATGTAGGAATCATGTTTTATTTTTGTTTTGCATACTGCAGTAGATAATGAGCAACTGTGTTGCCAAAGAAATGGGAAAATGATAATGAACTATCTTCACAATCCATTTAGATTTTAAACGATTGACTTTCTTCTTTACCTTGAATTAAGCGTTTTATAACCTTAAGGAATGGTGAAGTATGATTGCAAAATTTGAATTGAAACAAATATTTGAGTGGCAGATGTGATTTCTTTGTTCGGAAAAAATAAAGAAAAGGGGGAAAATGCCCATTATAATTTTGCACCTAGTAGAGGAATGTTTTAATTTCAAATTCTTTTACTCTTCACGCATCCACATAGTGCAGTTCCTGATGAATTTTGATAATCATATAATATCACAGGTGCAAGCAGTGCTTTTACTTCTGGGTGGATGCGAATTGGATCCTGGTACTTTAGATGTTGATATGGCGTACCATAGACAGAGGGTATTTAGTTATCTTTATATCGAGTTTTGTTCTTCGAATGTACTTGTTTGTTTGCTTAAGCACCTGATTGACTGACGTTTATATTATATATGTACTAGGCTTCAAATCCAAAGAGGGAAGAATCTCTGACTAGGTTTCGTCAAAAGAGGAAAGAGAGGTGCTTTGAGAAGAAAATTAGATACAATGTCCGGCAAGAAGTTGCACTCAAGTATTGCTTTCTTGCACTTGCCATTTATTATTATAATTATTCAAAAGTTGTGGCATTCTATACACGATGATATTTCTCAGCAAAAATGAGAACATACGTCCAATGCCTGGATAAAGTATGTTGTGTATACATGTCAATGTTAGTAAAATAGAAATGGCCAAGCCTTTTCCATAGAGTTAAATTTATTTGTTATTTAGGGAGGATATCTTACCAAATGCCTGAAACTTGTTGTTTGGAGTATTGCATCTATCTGAGACTTACTTCTAAGCTTGGGATTCTGTAATGACAATTTCTCCTCTCAGACAGAATCCTATATGATTTATAACAAGTATATATCTCCCTTCTTCTCTGTCAACCTTTTACTTTGCAATGACATGCATGAACTGCTAAATTTTTCTATTCAATGTGTTATTCTTGAAAGATCTAATAGAAAAGGAAACAAAAATCAAGTATAAACTTCCCAAGATAACCTAATAAACATGAAAAGAATACAAATCAAATTTAACAAACATTTATTTTTCTTCCAGAAAAAGTTTTCCATTTTTAAATTTGTCCAATTTGGTATGATTTTCTCTTTATAAATAGTATCTTTGCCTTCTTCTTTATTTTCCATCTGCATCTTTACCAGTGTCTCTAAGTTTGCCATGTAATGGGATAATGGTTATTTGGTAACATGCAATAATTTCTCCAGTGATGAAATATCAGAGTATATTTACTCATTTCATTTTGAGTTATCGTTCTATCACATCCAAGATTGTAGTCTATTGCCTTGAAAAATTTCACTGGAATTTTTCTTTTCATCATTGTTTTGAATTTCATGGCTGATTGATGTTGTCTGCTTGGGTACATTGGTCATCAGCTTCTAATTGATTTTGGTCGAGGTTTTTTGGTTTCATTTTGTTGACTTGAGTGGACTATTTAATGAAAAAAGGGTAATACGGGATGCTTCAATTCGTACATTTTAATAATAAAATTTTAGAAGAACATTAACAACTTTTCTTATGTTTATTGTAATAAAAGATATAAATTTTGGAAGCAATCAAGATTTCATTGTGATCGATCTATTGGTTGAATCTCTACTTGAATGGTATAGGTATTGAAGATTGATGTCCAGAAAATTTAGCTACTTTGAGTTTTTAGAACACGACTATCCAGGCCCCAAATTGTTCAGCAATAATGATGCTTAATTATCTTCATATTTCGTTCCATCCCATGACGCATGCTATAGTTCCAACTAGATATGTAAGTAGCAGCCTAAGTAGTAGAATAGCAACTGAGATAAACTTATCATGTGGTCCTTTTAGATACATGCATCTGTAAATGCTCTGAAAATACTTTTGCTTCTCAACAAGATTTTTTTAGCTTAAAGGATGCTTCAGACATCCTGAGAGTGTGAGAATTGGAAAGGCACAAGGTAGCAGAGATGAGGGAGAGGGTGTGACACCATAGATGATTAGAAAGTTCTCTTTCTTTCTTTCTTTCTTTTTGACGTTGCTAACATTTGAAAGGCCATAAAACTTAGATCATTCATACACTTTTCTCTCTGTTGTTTGAACTGGCAGGGGAATCTCATTAAAAGTTTTGTTTATGATGTTTTGTACACATCTTGCAGATGTATTCCGGGATAACTCACACTGTTAGTAACATTACTGTTTTGATGTGCGTTCATCTTTCAGAATGCAGCGCAGGAAGGGTCAATTTGCTTCAAGAAATTCTGAGAAATTTACTACTATGGATGCCAGACTGGATTTTGGAAATGAGGAAAAAGAACCGGATACTCTGTGAGTTCTATGCTATTCTAGATTTCGTTCTGATTCACTGATACCATATGTTATTTCTATGTGGCATAATCTGCTTCAGTTTTGCATATATCAAATCATTTTGCTATTCACTTGTTTATTGTTATGACTTGATAATGGTATTCCTGAATTTAGTTTAGACTTTCCCTTCAGTAACTTTGCTAAGCTACGAGCTTCCACTGTTAGACTTGGGGGGATGCTTTTTGTTTTTTTTCCTGCGTCTATGATCTTGCCTATTCGTATCTATTAGAAATTCTTTGGTGATTCCACGTGTCTTCTGTGTCAGTTGCACTCATTGTGGTACTAGTTCAAAGACTACTCCAATGATGCGGCGAGGGCCGGCTGGTCCGAGAACTCTTTGCAATGCGTGTGGGCTATTTTGGGTAAACAAGGTTACTCTCTTCTCTGCCGCTGCTTATCCATGTTTTTTCCATCTTTGTTCTTTGATTCAACTCGATCTCAATTCCTTTGTTTTTACTATTTCTTTCTGCCATCAGAATAATTTCAGAATGACATTACCTGTTTGTTGATGCATGATTCTCCTGTTAGAAAGGATCTCTTCATTGGCTTTGTCTAAATAATATTCTACTGTCGAAAATCTCGGTTTGATTTTGAATTAAGTTCTTCTTCAAAAGTTTGGATGATGAGTGGAGAGATAATTGTCTGTATCTCTTCATTGGCTTTGTCTAAATAATATTCTGTTGTTGAAAATCTCTGTTTGATTTTGAATTAAGTTCTTGCTTCAAAAGTTTGGATGATGAGTGGAGAGATTAATTGTCTGTATCCATTAATACCTGGTTACTCTCTGGAATTTAGGTGTTATATAGACAGGTACTTCTGTAGAATGTATATATTGAAGTTCTCAATTAGAAATTTCCTTCTTTACCTGATGAGCCCGATTCCTTCTCCACCCTAATTTCTCTTTGCTGGTTTTCGTGATGGCCTATTTTGGTCACTGGTCTTTTGATAATGTTGAATACAATGAGCTTAATATGATCGACTCAATGTTCCACTCATCTTTTCTTGTATACTTTGATGCATAGAGATGTTTCTTGGTTGCAGCTTCAAATTCCTGATGATGACTCTGCTTTCTTTTTCTTTTCTGGCTATTTAATAGACCACAAAGGTTGAGAGATTTGATCTGCACGTGAAAATCACGCTTCCAACTTTTTCTGGTTACACAGATCCTATCGGAAGACAGATTTCAATGAACATATGAAGTTTTCAATCTTTTTTTACTCTCCCTTTATTGCTCCTTCCCACCAGCCAGTTATATTTATGCTATGGTTCTGATTTCAAGAGAAAAAGTTGTTTCATAGTCTTGCTTTTATTGCTATGATAAATATTGTCATTTACTTTTCTTCGTGGTAAATGCACGTCAGGCACAATCACTATCAGCCGACATTATTACGTTACTCTTGAATGATAAGGCCTGGTAGTTTGTATATAAAATTCTTGAACCTCAACATGCTGTAGAACGGTAGAACACACTGAACTGTATTTCTTTCTAAATCTTGAAGTCGTATGACTCTGTAGGGGAGCATGCGAGATCTTTCCAAGACATTCCAAGACAATTCTATGATTCGAACAGGAGAGGTATACGTTTAATCGGAGATATTTGACCAAACGCTCCCTCTGTCAGTTATGATTTATGTATAACTATTTAAACAACCCCCCCCCCGCCCCCGCTTTTTTCTTTGTCCGTTGTTTAACAGGACGAAGATGATAGCGAGTCTGATTATGGAATCCCAATCTTTCCATGTGCTAATCATGCTTGAGCCGTGAGAGCTGTGCAGTAAGCATGAAGAACTATTTTATGCTAATTCCGACTGATCATATCATATTGATTGTATAGATATCTTTAGTGAGCTCTGAAAGTATAGTCCAAATTACACACCAGACCTAGAAATGTTGAAAGATTATTTTCTAAATACATCGTGGTCGATGGTCAATTTCAATACCTGGCCTACTTTGAAGTTTAATTGTGGTGTCAGCGAGAATCTTACAGTTCCGTACTTTGATAGTCTGTTCAGTGGTTATATAGGTGATGATAAAACGTGTTGAAAACTTGATAAATCTTTGTAATTGGATTGGTTTATATTTTACTTCTCTAAAGCTTTAGTCTTAGCTCCCGTTTGATAGCAAATTTTCATTTTAAAGAATCAATTTTTTTTTATCGTTATTTCACTATTCCAGTCATCATTTTTGACTTTTTCACTCACATGTAGAATTCATTTTTCTCTTTAGCAGTCAAAAAATCAATTATCATAATCACTATCGAACCAGGCCTTTAAATTTCAATTAGAATGTAGTCAACATGTTTTTAAATGTCATCTTTATATGTATTGATTTAGGATAGAGTAATGCTATTTAGCATCATTGGTGTTTAACATCAATCTAGGTGCCTGCACTAGTGGTATGAAATTATGTGTTGAATTAAATACAAAGAATTATGCCTCAATAGGATCTATGATATGTCGATATTAGTGGTCTAGTACTATTGATACTAGATAAAATTATTTTTTAAAGGATAAATCTTGATGTACATAGAGGTGTCCACATCTTTCACATCGGTTGGGATCCACGAGTGGGTCTCATCCTGTGTGAGGGATTTCTATGTAGTATGTACTCAAATTATGTACATTAACCACAATTTTTTTAAAATATGATACGGCAGTGAGTGGCAATGAGAATTGTTTGTATTTATCCATTTGTGTTTTGGGGTTAGTGCGAGCGAGTGAGAGAGAGAGAGAGAGAGCATTCAGTTGAGATGAGGCCATATTGAACAGAAAGTGTAAGTAATGCAGAAGTGTGAAAAGCGAGGGACAGGATCATCGGTCAACCTTTTGACTGATGTATTATTGGGTGAAGAGAAAAGGCGGACTGATGTTCATCAATACATTTAGCCCCCATTTGAACATATTATTGCAAAATTGAGAATGAAAAATATAATTTTATGGGCCCCACATAAAAGATAAATTTCTCTTTTGATAGTCATTTTTATAAGAATGAGAATGAAAAATATAGTTGTTATGCGACCACTTAAGAGATAGAAAGTCAAATATGATGGCTTGATATGATGGATAATAGTTATATTTTTTATTTTTGTGGTCAAAGAATGAAAATTAAATAAGGGCAAAAAATCAAATATGGTGATTTGATGTGATGAATAACGATCATATTTTTCATTTTAATAAGAAAATAATGGGACTTAAACATGGCCTTTAACATATATAAATTTGCAATAAAGGTGTAACAAAAGTGAATAATTATACAAATTCAAAAATTGGGGTTTTTTCAACCTTAGTAAAATTTTATTAATCAATCCTAACTTTTTATTTACTCCAGATGTCCACAACCTTCTAAAAATGTAGCAAAACTTGTCCTTCGTTCATTATCCCCATAAAACGATGAATTTGTCCCTCATTATATATATTTTAAATAGCAACTAAATAAGTAGTGTTATAATTGATATATTAAGTCCCCGTTAATTCTCGTTCTTTGGCCACAAAAATAAAAAATATGATCGTTATCTATCTTATCAAGTCACCATATTTGACTTTTTATCTCTTGTGTGGGTTTCGTAAGCACTATATTTTTCATTTTTATTCTTACAAAAATGGGTATCAAAAGGGGCCTAAGTGTTAACAAAACCAGGGACATGCTTCCTTGTCCCAATTATATAGGATGAGTTTTTATTTTATTTTATTTTTTATTGTCTTAAATATAGAGGCATGTTTTCTAATTTAGAATATTTTGTTTTATTCCTTTACCAATATATTGTTATTCAATTTTCTTCACTTAATATGGCAATTTTTTGAAATCATCCAAATACATACATTTCTCACTTCTAGGAAACATGGAACAACTTTCATTTCTTTTTCTTCAAATTAAATCATTCAAATTCTCTACTAATTCCAACAATAATTTACTACTGCATACTGAAAATTAAATAAGTGTAAATTAGGAAAGATCTTGGCAAAGAATAATTTTTTAATGATATTAAAGAAGATTTCTTAATCCGTATGAAAAACGAAACAAGCTTATATAATTGAGATAGTAAATATTATAAATCCTTTTGTATTTCAGCTTTTAATGCAAAACATACAAGTTTTCAAAATATGGGAAATTGAATCCTTATAAATTTCGTTAACTTGATGGCTAAAAATGTCAATTTTTATCTAACGGACTATTACACCCCCTTACAAATTTGAATTAAACCAAAAACCAAAAAGAGAAGAAAATAATTGAATCCCTAAACCATTTTATTCTGCTTATCTTTTTAATATTAGTAAGAGTATAATAGTAATTTTAAAGAATTTTTCAACTTTGGTGTCATTCACACCATTTGAGGTAAGGGTGAGCTTGTCAAGGTACACGGCCATTAAGTTAAGAAAAATGCAGGGAAAAAAAATAGAGAAGAAAAATGGGGTGACATTGCGGTTCATGATTGAGTGTTTTTCTGTTTTATTTTTTCAAGTTTCAATAAAAATTTGTCAAGTGTAGTTTGAAAAAAAAAATCTGTCATTGAGTTCGACCATGTAACATGATTGTTATGTTGAATAGGTTGGGAGTGCAGTCCTAATTTTCTTTTAAAAGATAAAATAAAACTAATAAATATACTGAGTATTAAGCCTCGTTTGGTCTCATTATTTCAAAATTTAATGGATAATGATACTATAAAAAAATATCACCTGAAAGATCTCAAGCTTGATGCGACAACTTCACTTTGATGAACATGAATGGTCTTTGAATACCTTCAACAAAGGCAACGAGGTGTGTGCTCATCGCCCCTCCGATGCTTAAGTCAGATAGGGAATTTAATGCGTGAGGCTATAAACTGAAGATAATAATGAAGAACGTACCTCAAGAATGAACACAGGTTGTGTATTTATATATGTCAGCGATTGAGTCCTAGGAGGACTTATTTTGTCACAATCCTTATCCTTGTAGGAAAAGGAGTTAGTGTTTCACCTCAAGTATTCAAGTCACTGTTCGAGTCAAAGAAGGAGTTTGACAGGGTAGGGATTGTGACCAGAGAGGGATTAGTGTCCCTATAGGTCTTATAGAAAAGCTACCGAGTCAATATATATATATATATATATCGCCGACCTCAAATGCCGGACCTTGTCTTGGTGTTTTTAGGAGGCGTTGAGATCGGGGTTATAAGGTCGAGTTCGAGATCGACAAGATCTTGGATCATCACTGGTCCCTATGCATCGAGGTCGTAGATTCCCTCCCATCCTGATCTGCGAGCGAAGATGTAGAGGCATGAACATCCAGGTGTTTTACCACGTGTTGAGTGTTGTATGGGATGTCAGACAGTGATCTCAGATGGCCACCACTTGTGATGTCAGGTCACGACCTTAGATTACCGCCATGTGTCTTGATCCAAGGGTTGAGATTGCTTGACCGTTGGTCTTCCTCAGTCCCCCATAAATACCCTTACTTTCACTCCCATTTTTCACTTTTTCACTCTCATTTCCCAGTAAATCGAGCTCGAGTTCGGGGATTAGTGGGGTTTGTGAGCGATCATCCACAGAGGTAAGAGTTCGAGCCTTTAAGTTGTTTTATTTGATTATTAGTGTAATGTCGAGTAGTGATAGTATTGGGTCGAGTAGTAGTGACAGTAGCCAGGCTCCTAGGGACTCGAACCATAGTGATAGGCCTGAAGATGTAAACACTTTCATTATTCCTATGACCATCCCTGTTAACTCCCATATCGACGTCCTGACATACCCTAAGGAGTCGACCAAGTACAAAGAACATGTAATTATTAAAATAGCTAAAGAGTTTGGGGTCATGCCAATTTGTGACATTAGAACTCCAGGGCCAACTGAGACCATGTTAGGAGCTCGAGAGGGGGAAATGACCTTTTTTAGGGATGCTCTTAAGGCCGGGCTTAGGTGGCCTCTTCACCCATTTTTCATTCATTTTCTGATCTTATACTACCTGTGTCCGGGTCAACTAGCCCCAAATGGTTGGAGGTTATTTGTGTATTTCTTCATACTATTTAGGTGCCTCAAGGTTGAGCCAAGGGTCGACCTACTTCGAATGGTATTTGATATGAAATTTTCCCCAGGGTATAACTGTTTTGTTTATTTATCAACCAAGGGGGGGGGGGTTTTAGAACTCCTGATACCCCGAGCTCACTTAGAGGTTGGAAGGAACGTTTCTTTTTTGTGAAACCTCAAGACCTCGATCATCCCTTTAGCCTGAGGTGGGAAATCCCCGATAAAGATAGGTTTAACGAAGGTCAGGCCTATTTTGAGGTTTTAGAGAGAGATAGGCTGAGGTTAGTGAACCACGACCCCCTTGCAGACAAGATCGATTTCTTGCTTGAAGACGACACCCTCGACCTTGCTAACGTGAAAGGCCTCGAGGTACGATCTTTCTTTTTATGCAATCTTTGATATTTCATGGGTAATCATCAACCTATGGTTCGAGCTAATGCCTTTGATATTTTTGCTTGTAGAATTCGAGATGTCTTTTGATCCATCAGCCCTCCTGGACAATGTTCACAAAAAGGCGAAGGGCCCGAAGTCTAAAGCCTCGACAACGACCGCGTCCAAAGGAAAGAAACGGGCACGGGAGGCCGCCCGTCCAACCATGGTGGACTTGGGGCAGAGCTCACAAAACCCGACCCCTCCAAAGCAGCCAACCCTTCAACAACAAGTTCGGGTTCGCACCCCTTGTTATGGGTCGGACCTCTTAGCTGATGATGAAGACCATATGCCCGCGAAGTCGCTCGAGGAGTACGCCGACTGTGCTCTCATCCAGGGCATAGTTTATAAGTATGAGAAGGAGCTCGAGACGAATGAAGGAGCTCGGACTCTCGAACTCCTTACACTAAAGGTAGGTTTTTAATATGAATGCTCTTGTAGCCCTGATTGGTTTCTTAATTTGTACTAACGTTGGGCTCCAAACTTGTTTTTGTAGACATTAAGCGTAGCTCGGGGTCTTTGGCTCAAGGGGTTAAATTCCTCAGATCCCATAGCCGAGCTTGAGGTTAAGAGCGAGGTTGCATTTAAGAGGGCCTAGGAGTTTGAAAGGGCCCTAGAGGCGGCCAAGGTGGACCTCAAGAAAGCTGAGGACGAGGTCGGGCTGGCAAGGGACGAACTGAGGAGACGAAG